AAAAACAAGACTAAAGTCTTAAGTAACTAGTGCATGTAGTGAGTTATTGCGTTGTTTCACAATATACTTTATTAAAGACACACAACAATTCAATATAAATTAAAAGGTCTTTAAAAAAATAAAGTTTCATTCATTGTTTCATTTTTGTTATTGTCAGAACATCCACGTGATTTTAACGTCAAGTATCGATATTAGCAATCGAACATCCCTCAGAAAGATTGTCCGTAACGGTAACACTTACCTAAGTTGCCATGTGGTCACGTGTAACAATAGAATTTATACAAACATACGATCTACACAATTTCTAACAATAAACGACAATGTTTTTAATCGAAGTTAGAAAAGATTAACCTTAAAACTTTTGCATCAATTATTATTTTTTTTTGTAGGTATTGTATGTGGACTTAAAGTGTTACAAGATCTCCCTGATGCTTCCGTGTAACCTTTTTTAAATATACAATAAGCTTATAAGCAGATATGTCCGATCGCTTATAAAGATAAAACGTTTCCTGCAGACTAATTCTTTCACTTCTTTTCTGCCATTTCTTTTCTGCCCCTACTAAAGAGCACGTGACCTTTACATCGAACTTTTTCTGTGTTAATATAAAACTTGTCCATCGATCTATTTTTTTCATATTATCGAAATCGACTTCAATCATTTATATATATATATATAAAAAAAAAAAAAAAAAAAATATGATACTACAATTGCATCTATCGTATCAATTTTTCTTAATTCTTCTTGGAATTATTTTATTATGCAATGATCTATTCGAAAGTTATAATTCACAAAATGGTGTAAAAGCATGGACTATATTCAACCCTGCGTCTGCGGATTATGATGAAAGTACTTTTGCTCCAATACCAATGGATTTTGATCGTACAGATATTCCTAAAAATATTCTTATCGGTTCTTTCATCGGAGGTAATTAATTCATATTATTGTGAATGTATTCATTAATATGTAATCGGATAAAAAAAATTTTTTTTTTTATGTTTTTTATCAATTTATAAGGAATGAGTCATCTTCGTCCCGCACTAGAAATATCAAAAATTCTGTCTGAACGTGGATACAATGTATGAATGATCGTTCACGTTTATCTTTTTTATCAATTCTCTTATAACGATCTAATGTAAATTTCAGGTAGCAGTGGTGTCACCTGGAAATTTTACCCATTCAAATTATCCGAATATTAAACATTTTTCAACTGGTCCAAAACATAATCCACGAGATATGCCTGAGATTTTTCACGAATTATTCGTAGAAGAATATTCATTTTTTAAAGCTTTAAGTCAACAAGCTATGTCAAATTCTAAATATTTAAGTAGATTCAAAACTTATATGAAAGCTGCTTCGGAATTTAAACCGGACTTATTTTTCTGTGATCATTTTTTAAATGAGGTTTGTTATGACATTGCCTGGAAATTAAAAAAACCCTGTATTGGAATTAGTTCCGATTTAACTTGTAAGTATTAAACTTATTTTAAAATAACGTCTAGGTTTTTTCCCTTGGTTACATTCTGATATATTCCCTTGATATTATCTTTTTTTTTTTTTAAAAAAAAAAAAAAATTATTATTATTGAAGCAAGGTTGTATTCTCCGTATAAATCCGATCCGTCATTTGGTTGCCATGCGAATATGGAACATGAATCTTTTATTGAAAGATTTAGATGTGCTATTATCATGCCTATGAAAATCATTTATAAATCGAGAAAGTATATGAATGAATTGAATGAAATGAGGGCTACTATAGGAATTGCTCCTACTTCTAATTCTATAGAAAAGATAAAAATACCTTTTTTTTTGCTGATACATTTTTTTGGGTTTGAAGTGAGTCGTTATTACATATACTTACTATAAATAAATCTTTATTTATTTAATGATTAACGCTTTTGATTATATCACTTTTTTAATTTAAAATTTCTGAAATGTTAGACTCCAAGCCATCTGCCTCCCCTTATTCAAGTAAGTATTGCATATTAAATTCTTTTTAATGTAATCAAATGATATATATACTAAATTTACTACTTTAGGAAATTGGTCCTGTAATGCAGGACGAATATGAACCATTAACTCCAATACTTTCCTCATTTCTCGCGAAACATAAACGAACAATGCTTGTCTCGTTCGGTACCCATGTATATACTACTCCTGAAAATATTGGAATCTTAATTCAATCATTTATAGAGGCAATGGATCGTAAAGTAATTGATGGAATAATCTGGGCGCTTGTACAAATTTCTGATGAAGATATTCCTCCGACCGTAACTTTATCTGACGGTTCTATTATATCAACTGATGAAATTTTAAATAATCAAAATCCTCATATTCATGTTTCTCCTTTTTCTGTAGCACCAAGCCCAAACGTTTGTACGAACATAAAAATTCGTGTAACGGTACTTTTCAATAGAAAATAAACAAACAATCAAAACGTCATGCTTAAGGTTTATATAAAATAAATTTATCCAAACTTTTCGGT